CCCCCAACCTTTCTGCTGCGCAGACCCCTTCCTCATCGTCTCTGGCCCCACCTGGGACTCCTCGGACCCTGGCCCAGGTTTGGGGCCCTGGGAAGCGGGAGCTGTCTGGGTGCTCCTTCACAGGGTGGGGATGAGGGAGAGTCGGAGAGCGCTGCTAACAGTCTTGGGGACTAGACAGTGGCATTGTCCCCAGGTCCCAGAGCTAGAAGATAGGACAAGGCAGGGGAAGGGTCGTAGGTCGAGGGGCCGTGCAGGAGGCATCTGAACCTTGGGCAGCTGGGGCTGGAGCACAGAGGCCCTCTCAGCTTCATGGGATGCTGGTTCTCGCTGTTCCTGACCCTTGAGAGACATGTTGGGTCCAAATTTTAATTTCCTGGGTGAGGAAAAGGGGTCCCGTGTGGGAAGAGGGCAGCTAGTGTCAGAAACGGTGTGAATGATGTGAGTGGGCCGGGGCCAGGGCCGAGGCCTCGTTCCCGCCAGAATGGGCGACTCTGGGGACCCCCGCGATGCAAACCTGCCACTGCCTGGAGCGCGCTGCAGTTGGCAGGCTGGCCAGGCCCAGGCCTGTTCTCTCAGAATCTTTGAACACTGAGGAGCACCCTCAGAGAGCTCGGTGGGTAGAGTCAGGTCCTGGAGGAAGGGGCGAGAGGGTGCGAGGACCCGAGGCCAGGAGAGCCGGAGCCGGTTCATCCTGCTGGAAACAAGGAAAATGTCTTTTCCTCGGGCTGATGGTTGCCCCAGGCTCGGTATTGTAGGCGATGCACCTGTTCTTTGCCTGGGCACTGCGTGTTCCTCAGTGTTTCCCAAGCTGTACCGTGTGCGGGAACCATCCGCAGGCCCAGGGCGGGGCCGGACAAGTGGAGTTTCCCCCAGGCAAGGCCCATGCTGTCGGCCTTGGCCACACTTGGAGTAGCGAGGCCTTGGGGGACCAAGAACCCGCATCGTGACTTGGAAGCTGCCTTAGTTGGAACGTTCATGATAGATGGGGGTGCAGGAAGAGGGGTTGGCCAGGTGGCTCTTTGGCTTCATTCACTGCATTAATTCCAAGCTGGAACCTTCTGTCCCCTCTGCCCTCCTAACCTCCCAATCTTTCCTCAGTTCTCCGAGTAAAAACGTGGCACCCACTGGCACCCTCAGGTCCTCTGCAGCAGGACAGGAGACTCGGCAAAGCCAAGCTGAGAAGCGCTGGGGGTGGCCAACGGTGTCCCCATGGGGTAACCCCAAGTTACCTGGAAAGAGCTCCTTGACCATGTTGTTTGTCCCGGGGAAGAAAGAGGTGCAGGCAGATGTCCTTCCCCACTGTTCATTTCTGGAAAATGCAGGTTGTGAGGGAAATGAAAAAGGGAGTCAAATCATGTTTGCTTTTCCAAAGAAGTAGATAGGGGTGTCCTGCTCCCCCGGCCGCCTGCCCAGACAATGTGAAATGAATATTTCCATCCTTCACATTTCATGGGCTGCATGGCCTGTGCCTGGGGGAAGTGGCACCTTCAGGGCTAGACGTCAGGGAAAATACTCGACCGTCTGCATTTCCACCTGCTCAAAGCCCTTTCTTCCCGCACCCATTGGACCCGCACAAGAACCCTGGCCAAGGGGCCTCTTTACACCCAAGGAGGCTGCAATGTGGCAGGCGCTGCTCAGGACACTGCGCTGTCTGGAATCCAGGCCCTCAGTGCCCAAGCAAAGGGGCAGTCCCCAAGGGTGGCAGGGCCTTGGAGACATGGAGCCACCAGGAAACCATGCTGAGCAGAGAAAGTGCTCTTGCAGAGCTGCTGGAAGGATGATGGCTCTAGGAATTAGAAAGCCATAGGCTCGGCTCTCCCTACCCCACAAAGAGAACTAGTTGCCTTTGACTCTGTCCCCTCAGACCAAACTAATTCTTACTTGTCTTCACTTATCATAAGTAGCAGACTTGAGAGTTGGTGAACATGTTTTGTTCCGTGCCTATAGTGACCTCATCGACAAGCAGGGAAAGAAACTGTGATCTGAACTCTGCCAGGCCAGGAGGCACGTTTCAAAATGTGCCGTAAAGGCTACTGCCCCAAGCCACGTTCCCAGGTGGAAGTTTCCAGGAATAAATGCAGGGGAGAGGTTGCTGCCTCCTCTACCGTGCCTTCCAAGAGCCAGAGCTTCTCCAAAAAGTGAGATTTCAAGGTTACCTGACTCAGCCCTGTCTTATGTTTATCCTCCTGGACTAGGAGGCTGGGGGCCGGCAGGGGTGGCTGCATCCTGCCCCCTCCCTGCAGGGAGCATAGGCCAGTGTAGGATTCCAAGGGCCGCCCAGCCAGTGGGTGGCCATGGCGCCCTCAGAGAGGCCTGGACTGCCACTTCCAGGTGCTGCCTTGGGCAGGTCTCTGAAGCTGGCGGAGGGATTGACATTCATCAAACATCCTGAGAAACAATGTCAAAAAAATCAGCAAACGCCTGTAATCCTAGCTCTCTGGGAGGCCGAGGCGGGCGGATCATTTGAGCTTAGGAGTTCAAGACCAGCCTGAGCAAAAGCGAGACCCCATCTCTACTAAAAATAGAAAAAAATTAGCCACGCAACTAAAAATAGGAACAAAAAATTAGCTGGGCATGGTGGCTCACACCTGTAGTCCCAGCTACTCAGGAGGCTGAGGCAAAAGGATCGCTTGAGCCCAGGAGTTTGAGGTTGCTGTGAGCTAGGCTGACGCAACGGCACTCTAGCCTGGGTGACAGAGTGAGACTCTGTCTCAAAAAATAAAAAATTGTGGTAAAAGACAAAATTTACCATCTTAAGCATTTTTAAGTGTACAGTGCAGTAGTGTTAAGTACATTCACACTGTTGTGCAACCACCACTTACATCTAGCTCCAGAATTTTTTCATCACCCTAAAAGCAAAGCCCAAGCCCATTAGCAGTCACTCTCCAATCCCCCACCCCCAGCCCCTGGAAACCACCAATCCATTCCCTCTCTATGGATTTGCCTGTTTTGGGTATTCCATGTAAATGAAATCACACAATATGTGGCTTTCTGTGTCTGTCTCCCCGCACTTAGTATAACGTTTTCCACATCCATCCGTGCTGTGGCATGTGTCAGTGCCTCAGTCCTTTATATGGGTGAATAATATTCCATTGTATGAATGGACCACATTTTGTTTATACACTCGTCTGCCCATGGACACTGGAGTTGTTTCCACATTTTGGCTGTTGTGAACAATGCAGTGGGTATTTCTCACAGCCCTCGGTTCACCCCAGCAGAAGACAGTGACTTCTGGAGAAGGAATGGGCAGCTTCATACTGGCCACAATAGTGTTCAGGATACTTGGGAGGGTCTCCCCACCCCCCTCCGCTTCTCTGTCTGTGCTACCCAAGCAATCGCCAGTTATTCTCCACTAATCCAACTCCTGTATGTCTGCATGTGTTCATTTTTTCCTCCTTCCAGATTCCTTGTCTACACAGGGGCTGACATCTGCATGTGGCCCCCTCAAGACATGGTTTGGATCCCTAGGTACCTTAAAAAGACACAGTTCTCTGGGCCAGCAGAGGACCCAGTACCACAAAGATGTGAGGCTGAGGCTGAAGGTATGTCTCTGAAGGCTATAAGCCAAGAGAGGACAGAAGGCTCTGATAAGTTTGTCTGGAACTTGGTGGGTTTGCCCCTCCACAGAGCCTGGGGCCTGCTTGTCTCAGCAGCAGCAGCCCCCTCATCCCTAACTGAAGCCCAGGTTTCCCTCCCTTTGCCAAATATCTCTTCCCTTTGCAGAAATAAAAGGCCTCTCTAAGCCAGATACATTGCCTCTGACGCCAATGTGTCAGCTCCCACAAAAGAGATGATTTCCTGAATAGGGTGAAAAATGAATGTGAGACCCCTTGATTCCCCTCACATCAGGATAGGGCTCTGCCTGGGTGTGGTGAAGGGAACAGAGGCAAGGGTTGGTTATGCAGGGCCTGTGAGGGAGGCAGGAGTTTGGAATTGCTCGTAAGTGTGTGTCAGGGGAACCCACTGGAGGACTGGGAGAGAGTATGATCTGGGTGCTGTGCACCATGGGAGCTGGCAAGAGTGGAAGCAGGGGGCCAGTTAGGAGGCTGCCAGCATCATCCAGGCGAGAGGACTCCTGCTCCTCCATCCAAATCTGCCCACTCTTTTTTCCATTCCCTTTCTCAGTTGCTTAAGCCGGGAACTTGGGGGTCATCCTTGACATTTCCACCCGGAAACATTTGTTGACATGCCCTCTCCCAACTCTGTCCAAGCCCCATTGAGGGACACTCTCCGGGCTCCTGTACGTCTTTGCAGCACCTGTCACAAGCTCAAGTAACTCTTGTTTTGTACAATTACTTGATCGTGACCACGAATCTTCAGTGCCTCGGAATCATCTGGGAACCTGTCCAAATGGAGCCGTCTGGGCCCCACTCCGGGATTGAGGAGGTGCCGGGAAGTAGCATTACGAAGTAGCAGCCGGGATTGGAGCAAATGTTAGAGAGTCAACTAGACTAACCTCCAACAGGGCAAGAGAATCGTTATAAACGAATAAGCCCAGTTTCGCGTTTGTGTTGTCGGTTACTGAGTTCGCGTTTTGGTCAAGCCTGGAATTCCCTTTCTCCTTCCTTTTAGCTTTTTGGCTTGCCTTGGTTTGCAAGAGACTTGCAGTGGCTTAGACAGCGGGCTGAGATTTATAAAGACCGCAGAATGTCAACTGCTTCTTCGCGAGCGCCGCCTTCCACACCCTCACGTGGGTACTGACATCCGCCCCATTCTAGGGATGCACAAACAGAGCCGCTGCTAGCTACGTGGTCCCGGGTCACTGGGACCACCTCCCCCGGCTCTGCACGCACCGGCCGTCGCCCTTGACAACGCGACCCAAGGTCACCGAGGTCCCGCCCCCAGGCCCGACTGTCCGCGCGCGGTCCCGCCCACGCGCCTGTGCAGGTGGCAGCGAGGCAACCCGGCGCGCGCCGTGACGTCACCGCGCCGCGCCCGCGGAAGGCCCGCCCGCCGGCCCCGCCCCTCCGGCCTGGCCCCCGCGGCCCCGCCCCTTCCGCGTGGCTGCGCGCGGCGCTTGGGAAGGACGACATGGCGCGCGAGCTGCGGGCCCTTCTGCTGTGGGGCCGCCGCCTGCGGCCTCCGCTGCAGGCGCCGGTGCTGGCGGCCGCCCCAGGAGGTGAGGGCGGTCGAGCCGGACGGGCAGCGGGCGGGGCGGGCCGCGGAGACGGCAGGGGCGTCCCCGGGGCTCCGAGCCGCTCTCCGCGCTCCGGGGTAAGGGGCGCGAGGCGGAGGCGGCACCTGCCTCACAGGCGTGCGCGGGGCAGGTGCGTTTCATTTCGCCCCACTCCTCGTCGGCCCCGGCTGGACTCTTCTGGCCACTTGACTCCTCGGCGCCCTGACGGAGGCCGGCTTCGGGCCGCTGTCTGGGAGTTCGTGGGGGCGGCGCGGAGGGACTGTGGGCTGGTGTCTCCCGGCGCTAAGCCCTGTCGAGAACAAGCGCTTGAAGTCGGGAGGGTGCGAGTGCGTTGGGGAACGGGCTTCCACAAGGGTGATCGTGTGAGCCCCTGGGTTGTGCTTTTACTCCTCGCCCCCTAAGTAACTCATGAACCGTTCATTTGTCAGTTCGTTTATTGGACGCACGCCTGAGCCAGCACGGGTTCAGATTCTGGGAGGCGACAGTGGACAAAACCAGCAGCGGTCACCGAGCCCTCAGGGGGACGGTGACTCTGGCTTGTTGACCTCTGCATCCCCAGAGCCTGGAATTGGTAGATACTCCAATAAATGTTATTTTTTCTTCCTTAAGGAGAAAATGACCTTAACCTGTGCTTTCCCACTCCCCACCGGGAAGTAACCACAGTGAACATTTCGGCGTTGCTTCCGGGCTCAGCACACTCAGTTACACACATATAAGTATAAATATACATTATTACCATTTTTGCGTAAAAAAAGCTAAACCATATACGCATTGCGCTACAGAATTTTTTTTTTAGCGCTCCCAGCCTTCCTTACACGTCTTTTCACGTCATTGTACACGGGTCTAGGGGCTTCCCAGTGGCTACCCCGTATTCTGTATTATGAAGATATCATTTGCTTAACATTTTCTTGTTGGTGGACACATTAAAGGTTATTTCGAGTTTTTATTTTTATTACAATGCTGTATAGAATGGGCGAGTACTTGGAATTTTTGTGCACAGGTGTGGTATTTCTTTAGACTTAGAGTTTTTGAATTGATGTTTCAGAGCCTGTGCATTTTTGAAATGTCAGCTGATAATACCAAATTGTGGCCCACAAAGGCTTTTTTAAGCCTTTTTAATTATATTAATTTATATTCCCATTAGTAGGCATCAAGCCTGTCTTCCTTCTCCACACTAGATGTTATGTTTTCTCAAAACCATTTGTCTGTAGAAGATACTTTGTTTAATTTTCATTTGTGTGGATACTAGGAGTAAAAATGTTTTCACTTGTTTAATTATGTATTTATATATTCTCGTCATATCTTTCATACTTTTTTTTTTTTTTTTTTTTGGAGAAAGGGTTTCACTCTGTCTCCCTGGGTAGAGTGCAAAGGCATCGTCCTAGCTCACTGCAACCTCAAACTCCTGGGCTCTAGCGATCCTCCTGCCTCAGCTTCCTCAGTAGCTAGGACTATAGGTGCACGCCACCACACCCGGCTAATTTTTCCTATTTTTGGTAGCGACAGGGTCTTGCTCTTGCTCTGGCTGGTCTTGAACTTCTGACCTCAAGCGATCCTCCCACTTCAGCTTCCTAGAGTGTTAGGATTACCAGGAGTGAGCCACCTTTTCCGGCCTCTTTTGTACTTTTTTCTGTTACCTGAGTTTTTAATTTTGTTGTAGTCTTTAACCATGGTTTTTAAAAATAACATGTATTCACAGATAAGACAACTGTAAGCTTTACTGCTTTATTTATTACTGTTACTTTTAGCCAACATTTTCCTTTTTTGTATTTATTTTCTGTTTTACCTGAGTTTACTTTTGTGTTAGTTTTACATAAAAAGTCTGTGGATTGTATAGTTTCTAAGCCCATTATGTCTAAAAAGATTTTTATGTTGCCCTTGTATAGTAGTTTGGCTAGGTATCGCATTCCAAGTTAAAATAATTTTCCTTCAGAAAGTGATGCTATTCCTCTGTTGTCTTCTAGTACCGTTATTACAGTAGTCGTATCAGTTTGCTTTTTGTTTCTTTTGTAGTTAACTTGGTTTTTTTCCCCTTGCAGTTTAAGATTTTTTCCTCGTGTTCTGAGATGTCCACAGGTGTTTGTAATTTGTGCTTCATAACACACAGTATCACTTCCATTTGGAAGATATTTTAATTTTCAGCACAGGAACATTTTAATTTTCTGTTTCTTTATCTTGCTGCCTTAATCATCTCTGTCCTCTCCTCATGCAACTTCTGCTGCGGTGGTTCAAACATTCCTCTGCTTGAGTCCAAGATGCAGAACCTGTTCTTGGCAGCCTTCTATGGAGCAGATGCTCTTCATGTTGTCACCTGTGTGGATAAGCGTGCAGGTCAGTTGTTTGGGTGGATTAGGTGATGAGTGAAGAAAACACAAGTCTCATACAATAAAGGAGAAAGACTGTGGTTATAGGTAGATCCACCCATTCAGAAAATCCAGAATTCTTGAAAATTCGTGTTGCCAGATTCTAGCATGTGCTTGGTTTGACTTGTAATATGTGTCACATCTCTGTGGAATTCTCTACCTGTGCTGTGCCACCTCAGTTACCCACAAGCTTAGCTCACTTGTTCCTTAAACCTTGCCTCGCGCATCACCCACCACCAGCCTGGTCACTCGCCCTCAGAATCTCTCTGAGTTGTGGGCTAGAGTCTCTGCTGTGGGCTTTGTATTTTTCATTTTTGCTCGTTTCTTAGTCTGTTCAACGTATTGGAAATGCTCCTTGGGTCTTCAGAGATGATGTGACTCTGCCATCTAGGGTCGTACCTGGCTGCTGGGCAGTGTCCTGGGCTGTGTGGGAGGCCTGTGCACCGTTTCAGGGAGCATAGAAACAAGTGGTGGCTGCTTCGGCTGCCTGCAGCACGGTAAGTTTCACAGACAAAGGGATATTTGGGCTGAGTGTGGAAGGCTGTCTTCACTGCAGGGAGGAGGGGCATTCCATGCTGAGAAAACTACAGGGCCAAGGGGGTACCTCTGAATAGTTGGTTTGACGAGAGACTGGGAGGAGTGTGCGGAGAGGTGGCGGATGAGGCTAACAGTCACGGCCTTTCTCTCTGTCAGATGTAAACTTGTGGGTGGGAGCCGAGTCCTGTAATCCTCAGGACGGTCCCAAAGCCAGACCTGGGCCCAGTGTTTGGGGCACCCAGCCAGCCACCTGACACTGTGAGGACTTCACACACCAGACTCTCCGCATGCCCTCAGGACCTGGTGACTGATTCATTTATCTATGGTGAATCTTAAATTAGTTGGTAATTGGGAACCACCAGTATTACAAACAACAGAATTCCAACCAGGTAATTCTCTCCCCTGGTCAATGTTCTTCATTGTAGGGAGTAGGGATGACAGAACATGGGTTACCTGGAAAATGTAATGTTAATGAAAATGTGAACTGCCATCAAACCTTTTCGGCAGTGCCCCAGCCGTATTGGAAGTACGGATTTGCCAGTAGACTAATGAGGCTGCCTCCCAAAGGAGAGGTGCGACCTGGAAAATTCAGCAGCAGACTCACTCTTCCAACGCAATGTGACTGTGTGGTCAGGCAGGTAGGGTGGTGGGTTGGTCATTTTTTGTGGCCGGTAACTGCCACGCACCAAAGCAGCCCAGCACAGTCCCAATTGTGCCAGATGCTCTGGTTTTTGTGGTTGAAGTTGCTAGAACATGACTAGCACAGTAGGACTGATTGATGCTGGAGTTAATGGCTTGGGCCTCTTCGTTCTCTGTAAGCTAGAGACGTTGCTGGAAACGAGAGTTGTAAGGGTGGGCTGCAAGCACTGGGAGGCTGGAAGAGCTGGTTTCGTGGGTGGTGTAGGCTCAAGCATCGGTAGGTTTGTTTCATCTTCCCAGAGGAACCCCTCCTGGAGCCCGCTCCTGAGGACAGCAGCTGCCTGGCCGCAGCCTCCCAGTTAGTACTGGATTCTGTGGACTTATTTTGCTTCCTTTCTCTGTTCTCCCTTTGTGTGGAGCCCATGCTATTTAATTTCTGCGCCTCTTGTGCTGCAGCCTTTGCAGAAATTCAGGTGAATGTCTGGTGTTTCCAGGCTGTCCTATTTACGAGGGAGGGGATAGTGCTTGCTGGTCAGATTCTGCTCTGTGAAATAGCTTTTTATATTGCTAAGGTGACATTGCAGTATAGGGTTAAGCGTCCTTATCACCTGTGCCGTCTCTGTAAACCATGGTGCTGGGATTTAGATGAAGGCTGAGGAGGGAGGTGTGGCCCAGCTGCCCAGGATGTACCAGGTAGGCCTTCGGCTTGGGTAGGTCACAGGGGGCTGAGCTATCTGAAAAAACAAATCAACCCCAATGTAGTAGGTTAGCAAAGACCTTGTAAGGTACTGGCTGAGTAGTTGGCCAGAGCTAAGCTGAAGGAGAATTCTCCACGTGTTCTGCTACCCCTTGGCAAGAAGAGGAGTGCAGCTTGAAGGAGCAGGGAATGTCAGGTTGATGAGAAAACAGTGTAGGAAAATAAACATTTCTCACCCCGCTCAAAATGTCAGTTAAACACCACGTGACAAAGGTGGATTCCATAGAGGGAGGCCATTACTGAGGCCAGTGATGCTCGCTTGTCTCAGAATAGTGACAAGGGTCTTTAAAGTGAAGGAAAATTTATTCAGTTCACACTCAAGTGAAATGCTGTAGGTTCAAAGCTAGAGGATGTTCTTAGATTGCATTTCTGGTGCCCTCAAATATTTAGCCAGCTAGAATTTTTCTTCAACACCATCCCACTCAGTCCTACAGAAGAATTGCCTTTTGCTAGGAAGCTGTTTTTGCTTATCCACAGGGACCTCCCTGTAGATTTCAGGAGGTTTGTTTATGGTGTGGCTGGTTCTTTCTGCTAAAACCGCTGGGAATTACAGACCATAAAAGCTGTAGCTTGGAGACCCAGCATCTACTTGGGTGGCATCATTGCTAACTGCTTTTTAACCAGGTGAGTTCCCATAGATCAGGTAAATTGAAAGCAGGTGTAGCTGAGTCATGGATTTTTAAAAG